ATGCTGGCGATTCTCGCTCTGACCTGTGCGCTCTTTCCCCTGGGTAGGACAAGCTTTCGTCTGTATTTTCCCCGACATTCATACCTTTATCTTCTACGTCTTTCTAGAATTAAATCGTTAATTTGTTTTTCATTCCGACCATTTCATAGAAAACGTTTAAAATCCAACATTGATTCAAGTTAATTCTACAAAATGGAGCAAAAGTAAGATCGCATTTTGAACAAAATACAGAAATCGCAAATGCAAATAACAGCATTAAGGTATTCTATGTAGTAAAGTGATATATATATATAGATTTAAATGTATGATTTGGAATTACAAGTAAATATCCATCAGATAGTTCTACCCCATTTTCCGAAGTTGTACTGTACGAGTCACCCGGCTATTATAGTTTTGGAGCCAGAAAACAAAGGAGAAAACCGGAAGAACTGAAGAGCTGGGGAACAGTTAAAGAGAGCTAGCGTGAGAGAAAGATGTCGGATCGGTAGTCTGGTGTTATGTACAAACAAACTTAACTTTAATATATAGTTCATTGTTCCACACCCGCCTCTTATCCTTTGCTTCATGTGAAGATACAACATTCTAAATCAGTAGTTCGCAGTTCTGGTCTTATTTTCCCCCCCATATAGACTATTAATCATCGATGCAATTTGATGATTTTCATTCATCTCATTTCTAATAGAAAGTCGGAGACTTTTTGTACCCTTTTCTGATATGTCTCCGATTACAAAAATGCACTCGATTTGGCATCCTGTTTCAACACCTTCAGAATGCAGAGCTGAACTTGTTTTTTAAGAGCTTGGTCCCTTATTGCAGTCAGAACAGCTCTTCACCTGTCAGACAAAACACGGAAGCTATTTTCCTTTGGCTTCAACAGAACGGGTTACATTCGAGGGAACACACCCAAAAGATGGAAATTCCGAAATTGACACAAGAATGATGCGAGCTATAAATACAATTTAATGTTTTAAGATCTGAAAACAAGTTTAAGAGTATGCCTCAAGTAGATGTTTTTTGTGAGGAAGCAAATATACTATGTTTGGAACTGAATGCACTAAACCAAGCTGTCAGTGTTGTGAGGTTATTCCCACTGTTTCATAGCACAGACCATTGCACTGGATGTTTAATGTCAATTTAAAGTGTCTAATTGTTTTCTTCACTTGTTCTGTAGCCACCAGTCTCAGCTGTAGTGCGTGTGCAGGGACAGACGCTTGTACACAGATTACATGCCCTTCCGCATTCACACAGTGCTTTACAGGGAATATATCCTTTGGAGGTAAGAGAAATATGTTCATTGTTTGAGTTTGCATATGGAGTATAAAGATTATATGTACAGTATAAGGACAAGCAAGGATCAATTCCACAGTGAAAAGTAAAAAAGAATACAAAATGCAGTGTTTCTGCACTGTGGGCTCATATTAAGATATCGTAACTGAAATGATTTCTTGTTTTTAACCCTTCAACATGGGTGTAACCTTTACTTTATTGATTTGATATTAATTTGGGGAGCAGTTGTACTAATTTGGATCTCTGTGGCATTCCACTAGTTTCACTGTCCCGATTGGAGCATGTATCCCTTATACTGAATGTACTCTGATTTCTGCTAACCACTTATCAGTTCAAGGGCACACACATTTTGTCAAACGACTACTGCCTGTAATTTGAGAATCTTTATCATTATAATTCTGAAAATGTATACAGACCATACATTTTATATACCCAGAGTGTGTTCATTACTGCTGCTGCTAGTTCAAATAACTCTAAATCCATATACAGGTGTATGCGATTCTCTGCTTCTCAAGTAGTTGCAGTTTCTATAAGCTTACTGTACATGTAATAGAACTCAGATGTATTGATCTATAAATACTCAGTTTTGTCACCCTCTTTAGGGATGGACACTTCATGAGCAATTCTCCAGTTCATGGGTGTTGCCCCTGTCTTAAGATACTGCTGGAAGATCCCAAAAAACTGGAACTTGACAAATTAGGCTATAATTGGTAATGTTATAGAAATGCTAGGATTACATTAGAAGACTATCAAGAAAATGGTATTTCAAGATGTTGCAAAAAGCAGTTTATTGTATTGAGGACAGTAGCCAAATTATCATGTGGATATTCAATATTCATTTTGAATTCATTTTCAATTTAGAATGTGTTTTTTGTAACAGTCCCTTAAAGATAACCCTGCAAAATGAATTGGGAAACAGAGCGGAGGAGGATCACTTCGGATTCAGATATAACTTCGAATAAATAATTGAATAAAGAATAATAAATTAAATAAATAATTCATTCTAAAAGAAAACTGTCTTTTTAAAGCTTTGAGCTGTTTATTACATATGCTTATACAACACGGTCTTTAAACCTGTATACACAGTATATATATATACACACATATATTTCTAGAGATTCATACAAAGTGATTACTGTTTCTTTCAGTTCCTTAAAAACAGGTAAATTCTCATTGTTTTTCCCCATATTGAATCATTTGTTTCAGGAACTTTTACATCGGTGAAGAGCTGCACAACATCTAACATCTGCACAGGAGGTGCTTTGTCTATAAATCTTGGATCAGTAAGAGTGACTGAAAATTTAAACTGCTGTGCCACAGACAACTGCAACACCAACACTACTGCTCCTGGTAATAAAATAATACATCCAACTAATCAAACCAAGCCATATGTTTTTAACATCCCTGAATGACTAAATATGTTAGGAGCATCAGAAAGGTGCTCATAATCTACACTAGTGTATTTTACGATCAGCAAGTATCAAGTTTTCTACTGCTTATTTTGTGTGGGAAGATAACAAGCATGTCATTTAACAGTTTCATATCCCTATTGATCATTGAATCTCCAAAGATTGGGTCACAACAGTTCAAGGTAAATGCTCCATGTATTTCTATGTATCAATGAAGCCAAAAAGGTATGTTTCCCATATTTTGTACAGCATAAATAAGTAAAAACACACATTTAAAGAGTTGGAAAATGCAAAACATTAAGGATTTCAACACAGCAATGCAAATTCCATTCTCTCATTTTTCCATTTCTGGAAATTCAGGCTCAAAATCCTGCATAGGGATGACTTAAAAGGTAGCAAATGCTTTCTTGAAAGTATGGAAACTTAGTCCAAGATAGAGATCATGCAAAGCCGTAACATAAGACAAAGCTAGGTATGTGACCTGTAACCAGAAGTAAAACAATTTAAACCAAGGCAGAACAACTTCACATTTCATCAGATAAAAGTCTTGATCTCCTCCTACACACAAGCAGTCCTCAGCAGCAGTATGGAGTTTAAAGCAGTGGGGTGAGACTGCTGCTGTATAAACAAGTACCACATGTGTTTGGAAAAAGAGCAAAGGGTACTACAATCACAGGGTCCATCTCTAGAAACACTAGAATTAAAATGCGGCAGCATTATTAATTTAGGCCACTGGTAGTGCTTTCTGACATGCTTGTTGTGTTTTACAGCTGCTTATACAGACACTACCCCCAGTGGTCTGAAGTGTTATTACTGTGATGGAACTGTCTGCAATAAGACTCTGACTTGTCAAGGGGTTGAAAATCGCTGTATCACGGCTGGTAAGTTAGGGCTGTTCAGCATGTACACGTCCAGCCAAGGATATGTTTATTGTTTGCTTGCCCTGCTGAGACATTCGCAAGTGTAATTAGAAATATGGCTTTCTGCATAGTCAAATGGCACAGAGTGGAACATGAAAACGGCAGAAGGGAAACTTGTCTTCACAGTGAAGCAAAACCCATACGAAAGCTTAACAATATTCCCACAAGGAAGCTTTCAGAAGTCACTACACAGATGATAAAAGAATTAAGAATAGCTACCTTCAATGGAATCACTTGCATTTTGTGGCTGTTGTAATTTAATGGTAACCTATATACAGCATGTAATCTTAAAAACAAGAAGAAAGGAGCAGTGCCAGTTTTTATTGAAACAGTTGATTTGAATTGTATTATAATTATAAGAACGTAATGTTTCCTTGAAAAAGAATAGAACCCAATTATTCTATTTCTCTACCTACAGGCTGAAGGATTAATTTGATTTTTGTTTTTTTCAGATTTAAGTAACCAGATTGTCAAGGGATGTGCCAGTAACAGCGTCTGTACGGCAACTATAGGAGATCTGTCACAGGTATTAGGCCAGGCATTCAATACCACATGCTGTTCTGGAAACCTGTGCAACAACGCCATGCGCACAGGGCAGAGTGTATTTCTCCTGCTGGTGCCTCTTGCTTTCATCAAGCTCTTCAACTGAGAGCTGATAACGCCCACATGCCTCCTTCTGGAAAGAACGAATGTTATACAAGTCGTATAGATGCCTGATGAAGAATGGTTATCAATCTCTTTGCAGTATGGCTTGCATTTTGTTATGCGTGTCTGCATATGAAAAATGACCTTCATGAATTGGATTTTTCCCCCCTGATTGGAAAGAATTGTATCACCCCCTTAGAGGTCTGCAGTGTTGTATTATTGATCACAGCAATTAATTCCTCTCTGTGTTTCTGTAGCAGAATTAGATAAGGTCCTGTCTCTGAGGGCAGGATTCCTGCAGGCTTTACATTCATATAATTACATTAGCAAATGATCAAAACCTACAAAAATGCAGGTGATTGGACTCCTTATCCAACTATTTAGTTTAATTAGGAAATTACTTCAGGTGCAATGTAAGCCAAAGTGCTGGATCTGTCCATTACTAATCTATAAAACACATATAACGTACAAACATCAAGAAATGTTTTTTGATGACATAAAATAAAATTAAGACCAAAACACTGCTGTTTTGTCTGTTCTTCTAGGGAGCAATGAAGGATTTCAGGAAGGTACAGCAGTCAAAGGGTTAAACTGCAAAATGTGGTACAAATGAAAGACTTGTGAAAACGAATATAGTAACACTATAGTAGTAAGTGTTTTTGGATATCAAAACATTAGCAAGAAAACCAAGGTCAGAGAAGCTGGAAAATTACTGAATACAGTATGTGCCTCATCCCCTTACCTAACCTGAGAAATGTAACTTTATTGTAAACTATGTAAGCTGCTGAAAACATGCATTCTGTAGTTATCTCCTGCAGAGGCTCCAGCCCAGTAGCCACTTTTAGATTTTTACATTTAAAAGTCTAAGTTTTTAGATTTGAAGGCAATACATCCAATGCCTGGAGTTAAGCTGTCTTTCAAAAAAACTACAGATCAACTTCCGTATTTTTCTCATCGTCTCGAGAGCCATCCTTCCAAAATGGCAAAATGACATTTCTAGTAGATCTTCCATAATACCCACTGCCACTAGGGATATTTTGCTTTTCTGAATTTCATTTCATTCTTGCTGTACCCTTTGCCTTTGAAGTACTACACCAAAAGTAAAAAAAAAACAACAAATCAGGATGGTTCAAATGCATAGAAGGCCATAGTGAGACCACCCACAGCCACAGGGTCCTGCTGAAATAGCCCAGTCATCATGAAGGTGTGAATTGAGGTGGTCAAGTGGCCACACTGATGCAATTTTTGTGGGTGGAGAGTTTTGTCTCTGCTGCTATAACACAGAGATGCTGTACATTTTAGCTTTCTGAATGTAACTCGCTATTTTAATGAACTAGCTTTAGGATACAAAATGAGCAACTTCCTCATCGGATGTAAGAATTTTCTCAGCTCCTCTGCCTCCCAGCTCCCAGAGTCACATCAATGGAGCTTTCAAACAGACTGCTGTCATTACCCCCCAATAACAAAGTTCATTAGTCCTTAACAAGGTGAGGTTACTTTGCCCACCTAGCTTGTTAGGTTGCGTGCTAATTAATTCTAACTTTATCATTATTGCTTCCTTATTTGGCTAAAGCCATGGATCTCAAACTGTGGTACAGACGACCCTGGAAATGTGTTGTGTGCACTGAAAAATTGGGACGGGTTGTCATTTTTCTATTTTAATAAAATTAGTTTGTGTCAAATACCTAAAGGTAACCTGTTCAACAAATGTTCAACCTGTTCCCGGACCTGGTCGTTCAGGGCTGATGTTTCAACTGCTGCAGTGAAAGTGAACTAAATAAACAGGTAAACTGAGTACTGAGCCTTTAATAAATCAACACTCTTCTCCCCCAGTCCCGTGAATGGTTCAGAGATAAATCACTGATTTATCTTTAGAAACACTATCAACGCTTGACGAACAAGCTTTTTGAGCACGTTGCACTGTTTTGATGATTTGGCGAGAGCACGGCATTTATTTTTTTGGGGGATATTTACATGACATCTTGCTTTTACATAGTTGATATCATGTGATATTTCATGTTCCTTGTCCGTTTCTCTGCCCTTGCACTTCCTGCCTTACTCTATAAAAATGCGGAAAGTTCCCCTTTCTCTTCTTTCAGTAAAAAACAAACAAACTTATCTTACCGAGAGTGCTATCCTTTCCAGTATCGGCTCGTTTCTTGTTCATTCACACTAGAAGAAGAGGGGGCGTAATAATAAAAGAAATCTCAACATTCACCACTTTCCGAAATGAAACGACATTCGGTGTAGCAGCAACTGAAGGCACGCCGACATTGTCATTTTACATCGCAGATGAGAATCATCTACTCCACTGACAGTGAAATAATCCACTACACTTACTTTCAGAACTAACATGATCACTTATACCTAACAAACCTTAACAGCCCAGTCCAGCACAGCAGCAACAGAAAGAGCCACTGGAGGACGTTTTTGACTCATATTTGCATGAGCAGATTAAAAAAACGTCTGTTGTGTTGCACATTTAAGGGCCCCCCTGGTGGCCTTAGGACAAAGCAACATAAATCAGAAAAATGTGGGGAAACATGTCGCAAGTGGAGACAATTTCCGATGACTAGAACCGTCATTTTGCTAACCGTTTGGCCTGTTTTGAAGAATTTTGCCAATCGAGGACAGTGATCCTCAAATGACTGGACAGAATTTAATTAAATCTACTCAAGCCATTCTTTGTAGTTGGTCAGTGTTAGGAATGTTAAGAATTAAAGTTTTAAATGGTATAGCATATATATTATTGTATCAAATTACAGTAAAGTTTTGCATAGAAAAAAAATGGGTTAATGCCTTTGAGAACCCAGGCTTAACACAAGAAACACTGCAGGGGCTTGAATTGTTGTCACTAGCGAGCCTGTAAAAAAACGTTTTTGCTTTATAGGTATTATGTGGAAAATCAGCAAAAGTCATATTTCAATAAGTTCTGCAGGAAGAAACCCACACAGTCATGCCACTTTTTTTTTGCTATGGATTTCATTTTTAATAAAGGTAAGTGCATCACATTTTGTACTAGTGCATTATAAAGGTGATAAACTTTATAAAGAGCATTATAAAGAAAGCTTTGTCCCCCGATCACCACTGCACTCACACACCACAGATGAGGTCCTGTAGAACTTATTGAAATGTGACTTTAGCTGATTTTGTAAGACTAAGACATTTTTTTCCTTTTCTGTTAGAAAAAACTAATTTGTTTTTAAGGAAGTCTGCAAAACACCGTCTACTCAATTGAGCATATGTTGTAACATCTGTGACTAGTCAACAGTTCCCGTTGTACAATATGGAAACGTTGACATTTGTAAATTCCACTGTATGGTTTCACCCTAAGTATTCCTTTCTAAATTGTTTTTAAGCGAGAAGGAAGTACATTGTAAGAAACTCACAGCACATGACTGATATAGCACTGTCTGGGTTGACTTCCTGGGCGGATCGGAACAGAGATGTTTTCGGTAAGCTGAGCTCACTAACAGGGATATAAGTTGTTGACTCCTCATTTATAATAACGAAAAAAAAAGAAACTGGCTTAAGAAGCCTGTTTCACGCTACTTGCCAACTGCATGTAAGCTGATATGTTAGAAAAGGCAGTGAAGATCTCTAATTCTATTATACATGTAGATATTTGGGATCAAGATCAATCTCGATCTAACATGGTCCAAGGTTACAAAGCCAAAACTGAGTGGAGTGCTTACAGATTTATCATCCAGCTTCCTCCTGATCCCTTGTTTTGGCAAGAGCAGTAGTTAGGGGCTCAGATCTCGTAGATGGAATTTACAGTTATGCGTTCAAATCCCAGATGGGAACACATCTGTTGTTGTGCTGACCAGAGAAGTTCAAACAAACGGTTACATCTCTTTGAACACCCAGCTGTATTAAAGAACAATGAAAGTTGCTCTAGATGTAATAATAACCATAATAATGGCAACCTACCTTTATATAGCATTTTTCTGGACACTCCACTCAAAGCACTTTATAGGCAATGGGGACTCCCCTCCACCACCAGTGTACAGCCCCACCTGGATGATGTGACGGCAACCATAGTGCACCATTCTGCTCACTACACACCAGCTCTCAGTGGTAAAAAATGCTGAAGTCACACTGGATCCATCATTCCTTAGCTAAATGCATCCATAACAAGATACTTGCAAGTGTTGTCCATTAATGCTCTTAATCTATATCTGGAAATTATGACTGCATGGTGGCTGCTGGTGTTGAAAATCAGGAATAAAAAATCTACTCCTGTAATACATGAACTCTCCCTCTGCCTCAGCTACTTATGGGTTGCGCTGGACTGATCTTTGATCCTGTGGCATGTTCAATTATCCCATGGGCCAGTCACATTCATTTCACAGGCTACTAGTTAACCAATTAGGCCAGGCCTCAGCTGGCTCCATCACAACTAAGCATTGCACATATGCATATTTATACTGATAAACTAGGCTGAACAATTTGTTATGGTTATTTAGTCTTTTCATGTTTTTTTTATAAATTCATTTTTAAAAATGGCTAAACACTGTTTTTGGTGCATAGTTTCATAAATGAACAAAACTTCAGGATCTGTGTTTATTTGTTACTTTTCTTTTCTTTACCTTTGGTTTGATCTTGTGCGCTTTTCTGGAATCGTGGTGGAGCTGTCATGCTAGTGTCTCTGTTCAGCAGATGCCTGCACACTCCACTCCAGAGTCATAGCCATCCTGTCATGAGGATTAGAACAGCGTTGAACAGTAATTTCCTGTTGCCTGCAATGTCAGATTTTGTGTCTGGATCACTTCACACTTTTTCTGATTACGCCTTTCTAACTACTTCCTTTAGAAAGGAGTGTTTCAAAACAAGAAGTTATATGATCTTTAAAAAGGAATATCTTGCAATCGTTGTAGCACCGGGTATTAAGAATTACTGAGGGCTGTGCCTGTGTGTACTTTACTCACAGTATTTCACTGGACCTTAGACACGCTGCCATAATTATTTGGCCACCTTGTTTTTTTGCACATTTGGAGTGCGGTAACATTTGGTGAGTACATTCACATTTTATGTGATTCAGAGTGTTGTTGCCTTTTACTCTGAAAAAGGTTTTACACTATTTGGACTGACAGCACAAGTGAATACAGTTCACATTGATTGTTTGTGAAAAATACAGAAGATTTAACCACTGTTCTGCATCCTTTGTTTTCTTTTGAATATGTAACTGATTGATATTGTCAATGTAGTGGGGCATTGTATCTTAAACAGGTTAGAATCATAAGTAAAGTAATTAACATAAGTAAGCAAGTAAGGTAAGGTCATGAGGAACTGCTTCCCCATATTAATTTCTATAAGCACTCACAGAAAGGGCAGACTGTTGTGCCTTTCTCAGGCTGGCTACAGTGTTGTGAGTCCAAGCCAAGTCACTGAAAATCTGCAGACCGAGGAACCTGAAGCAGGTGACAGGTTCCACCACTCTGCCGTTGATGCTGATTGAGTCATGACACCCTCTGGGTCACCTGTAATTCTTTTATCCTGTTGACATTCAGGGCCAGGCTGTTGTTAATGCGCCATCTTGTAAGATCAGCCCAATAACTGTGGTGCCATCTGCAAACTTAATACTGCGCTTGCTGCTGTCAGTGACTGTACAGTCATAGGTGAACAAGAAGTACAGCCTGAAACTGAGAGCCTTTGGGAGCTCTGTCTTCAGTTGACTAAGTAAAGTAAGTTCAAAAACTAACCTTAACACCTCTGTTGTTTCATTTGTGTGACATTCCTTTTCTACATAACCTTTGAATGTGAAATGTAGTGAACATATGATGTTCTGGCAGTTCGTTTTTGTGATGAACAGCCGTGAGCAGGGACTTTCCTCCCCTTTTGTCTGCAGTGATCTGCTGTGCAACAGAGGTCTGGCTTCTCATTGCTGACGGAGATTAGGAGGACAGCAGAGAAACTGCAGCCATGAGAGTTCCAGATTCTCTCTGCTTGTGGGCAGCAACTCTGTTAATCCTGCCTGGTAAGACTGAGTTGACTTTAGTTCACAGTAAATCGCATGTCCACCAGTTCCCAAGTAGAGAGCACAATGTTAACTGGCTAATTTAAAGACTTAAATAAATGAATCTCAAAATATAAATACAAATCTACCATGTAACCACCTCTTGCTTCACTGAACATTGTTGGTCTTTAGCCAAAAGAGACTGATGGGAGTTTTAAAAATCAGGGTTTGTAGTTTCCAACTTAAAAATGTTGCTTAAAGAACATCAGGAAATATATGTTCAAATTCCCTGGCAGATCATATCAACAAGTATTTCAACTCACGTGGAATAGCTTATAAAAACACGTTTTTATGTTCAATCTATGCATTTTTCCAATATTTTGGGAAACCATTATCCAACAAGGTATTATTTAATAATTGGTATTAGAATTAAGTCATTATATTTACTTATTAAAGAGCTTGTACTATGGCTGAACATTTTAAAGCTTGCTTTATTTTTTGTCCCAGTTCTTTGTGATACTTCATGTGATTTTACCTATTAACAAGACACAAAAAACATTTTTTGTTAGTTACACTCACCTGTGTAAAATTCAATATCTAAAACATTTTTAGTTTATGTGAGTTTTACTGTACATGTGCACGTCTGTGTTTGATAATATTTTACACCAATGATTTTCACTGCTTGACTCACTTCTCAAGAGTCAGTACTGATGGCTGAAATTGTCTTTTTGCAGGTGGTCTCTGTGGCGATTGGTCTGTATTGTATCCACAGACCTCTATCTGTGCTGTCCCAGGCAGTACTGTGGTCATTCCCTGTTCATATAATTATCCTTCTAAGGATAGACTGAAAGTGAACACTGTGATGTGGTGTATTAATGATACTGACTGTATTGCAGATTCTGAAACAAAACATTATGTTTATCACTCTCAAACACCAAATAACAGGTTGAAGTTTAGTCAAAGAATTAGGTACCTAGGCAATAAAATGGATAACTGCACTTTAAAGATAACAGATGTAGGAATATCAGACCAGGAGACATATAGATTCCGATTTGAAACAAATGACCCTCAAGGACGCTGGGTTGGTCAACCAGGAGTGACACTTTCGATTACTGGTAAGAGTGCCTAATAAGTTTACTGTTCAGGAGACATCTCCTATCTGCAGTGTAAGAGACTACTCACAAAAAATAGCAACTCAAACCTGCATAGTGCAGTTGGAAATGTCGCACTTGAAATCAAAGCAAGAAAAAACTCTCCTAAAGGACTCCTTTAATTTCACCTATAACATTTGGAAAGTTGTGAAATATAAAAATTCCAAGTCTTTTAATGGTTTTAATGGTTCTGACATTAAAAAGTCCCTATGTTGATTTTCATGCATATACTGGGCACATGTTTAAATATTTTGGGTGAGTTTGATGTGCAAAGTGGTTAATAATGTTTGCACAGCCTTTGTACGTGATGGTGAAAACACAATTCCAGTGTTAAATATTTCGATTTCATCCAAAAATCACACTATTGTCTCCACACATGTAGAAATAATTTTTTGTTGATATACGGTATTCAGTTTCTGAGAAACCTTTTAGGAAATAACACCAACTGCAGCTTTTACCTTCCTGCAGAATTAAAGATTCAGATGAGCCCAACAGGAAAGTTGGAGGAAGTCAGAGAAGGAGATAACTTGAACTTGAGCTGTGTTCCAGAGGGATGCTCACTAACACAGACCGAGTTTACATGGTTTAAGAACGGACAGCCCCTCTCAAGCCCATGGGCCACAGAAAACACACTTCGCTTTAATCCTGTGTCCTCGGAACATGCTGGCACCTACTCCTGTGCTTTGAAAGGCCATGCAAAAACAGAATCTGTAATGTTCGCTTTGGATGTTAGATGTGAGTATGATTTCAAATGCATTTCCAGTTTCTGTTTGGTTGCTGTCAAAATTGCAAAAAAATCAAGTCAGACATGAGTGAGATTACATTTGTGTTGAAATGCCTTTTAAAGTGAAAAAGCTCTGAGCTTTTATTGACCAGTTTGGATCAAAAGAAACGAGGGCGGATAGTAGGTATCTCATTTAGGAAAAGCCTCACAAGAACCTTTCTCACCATTAAAATGTACTGCTGTATATGCAGTAAAAACATCATCTTTACATTTTTTGTGCTCCTCATTTGTTTTTATTTTAAAAAAGAGTCAATTCATAATGAAACTACAGAGGATTTCACAATCAGGATCTTGTGAAAGATTTCTTGTCCAATATATTTCAATGTGAATTTAATGGCCTCATGTATTGATGCAATATGTTGTTTTTACAGTATAAGATTAGAAAACCTTTTATTTCAATAGTGGCAATAAAATATATCAGTTATGTTGTGTAGGAGTTTTGTATATCGAGATACATATTTGTGTCTAATTCACAGCCTTTGTAAAATGATATAACCACATTTTCCTTTGCTTCACAGCTGAATTCAATACATTGATGATTGCAGCTATATTGGGACTTGTGCTACTAGTCAGCATAGCCACTCTAGTGATTTACATTTGTATCAGAAGGTGAGTGAGTTCAATTGATCTTGGGTTTAAAATGTCTGCAGTTTAGCAACTCCTTTTAACAATTAGCAGCTGAAAGCTCTGAATCTAGCTAGTTGGCGGTGGGAAACTGGATCCTTTGATCTCCCAGATCTCCAATCTGAGATTAGATACTAAATGAATGAGTAGCTGCTGAAGGTAAGAGATACCTGACTCATGGAGGGTTTCAAAATGTACTTGCTTCCATTGTAAAATCAGTTAAAAAATTCACTGGAAGCCTATGCAACGACCCTAGCGCAAGGGTGATATGGACATTGAGAGTGCAAGTCAATAACATGGCAGTGGCTGGAGTCTATTTTCAGACATAAAAGGAACTGAAATAGCCAAGACAAGACTGTAAGAGGTGGTGGACCAACACATAAGGCCTCAAAAAACACCTCCTATGTTAGCAAATGACATAAACTGGCACTATCTGACTACACAGATGCAGTACACAAGCAATATAAAACTATGCAATAAAAATAGCTTGATAGCCAATAAAAGAGTCACAGATAGACACAACTGGGTTTTTACCTTTCGTCCTTTTTGTTCTCTAAAGGAAGAAGGCTGGTCAACTTAAAGGGGAGAATAGCAGAAACATGAAGGCTAGGGTAAGTGTTTAGGTACAGTATATAATGCAAAATAGTGGTTTAGGTGCAAAATGATATGTGAATAACAGTACTGTTCCTTGCCTAATCCAACAAAGGCTTCAACATTTGTCACCTTAAACATTGCAATTTAATTTCTGCCAATTTATAGTAATTTATTTTTAGTCAGAGTGTTACTAAAACACTCAATGGTCTACAATGGAAACAGTATTTGTGAAGCAGATGTTTGCAATGCATTGATAGAATCCCCTGTAGACTAATAAAAACCTTGAACACTTTTCTCAGATGAACTGCTGGTCGCGGGTTATGGGGCATAATTAATAAATATAAATCAATTTGTTAATCAGATGAGATGACTCTGTCAAACTCATGTTTAACATGCTCTGTAAAATAATTGTAGAATGCTTGCAAACTGAAATATAGAACTTCACCTTTTTATATCAAGGTAGAACTGTGTTACATATTATGTTAGTATTTCCATAACCAAGTGCTGGAATCGTACAGGTCTGTACAGTACTTCTGTAACACCCTTTTGGTGGAATCACATTTACAGTTGTATAACAAACTGGTAAAATCACTTTACAAACATAAAGAAGCCTGGATTCCAGTAAGACTGCAGCACAATCACAGACTTCAGAGATAGAGAGGTCAGAAATGGCTAATGTTTCCTTCTTTGCAAAGGACGTTCTTAACAACATTTATGATGAAGTACTACAACCTAACATCCCGGAGTCAGAGCACATGCAGAGAACTCCATCTGAAGAAGATGAAGTCTGTTATTCAGCAGTTTCCTTTCCACCCAAGACAGCATCATGGCAAGTTTTATATTTTTTCCCCCACATCATTCACGTGCTCATGCAGTGAAACAGGAAAGATTCCCCCCACCAAACTCAGTTTCAGCCATCTGTCGAAAAACAGCTCAAGCACTGTCACTGCTTCTTCCTCCCATCCCCCACCCCCCCAAAAAAATAAAAATGCAGACAGATGTCTCCCTCTGCAACAAATTTCTTACTTGCTTAAATCACCACTGTGCACTACAGATCTAACCTGCCAGTCTGCAGAGTTCCTCTTGTGAAGAAGTAGATCATAAGCCATATTACCCTGCAGCTCACAACTAGTAGTCCACTGGAGCTCAGCAGCTGTGAGCCTGGTCAGTACCTGGATGAGAGACCTCCTGGGAAAAACTAAGGTTGCTGGTGGAAGAGTTTAGTGGGGCCAGCAGAGGGCGCTCACCCTGCAATCTGTGTGGGTCCTAATGCCCCAGTAAAGTCATGGGGACACTATATTGTAAAAAGTTGACATAAAACCGAGGTCCTGCAGGATAAACTTGGAGAATTCTTAGCAGGTCTGAATGATGAACAAATATAAATGACCCGACTCTTGTTACTTACCCTCTAAAACCTGTTTTTCTTTTTTCATGGCCAACCAGTCAAGAGACCAATGACTCCTCAGTTCTCTACAGCACTTTAAAGAGATAAAGGAACGATCATGCATCCATTTTCTGGCCGCCTTAACCTACTAGTCTTTGGACTGTGGGAAGAAACCAGAGCACCCAGAGGAAACGCACACAACAAGTGAGAACATACAGTACAAGCTCCTGGCAGATGGCACCCAAGGTCTAGAATTGAACCAAGGACCCCAGCGCTACAAGGCAGTGATGCTAACCTGCATGCCACTACACTGACTGAGAAAACAAAGAAAAAGAAAGAAATATTGCTCTTTATATCGAAGGTGCTATCAGTTAAAAATCAATAAGATGACATGTTCCGAACCGTATAATAGGATATGAACACAAGATTTAAAACTCTAGGATTTTTTATTTAATTTGTAAAGCACATTACATGCTTAATAAACCTCATTTTTATATTGATGTATAAAAAAATGTTTTAAAATGAAAATCCCAAATATGCCATTGGAATGTATTACAGTTTTTGTAATTTCACGGTTCCATTTTTAAATTTAATCTAGAATGCATATTGAACAGTCAATTATTCTGTTTTTTCCATCTTAAAGCAGATTTATAACTTATTTACACTTTTGCTTTGGCATTGTGTTTGAGGGCAGGAAAACGAGAAACAAAATAGGGAGCCTTTCGAGGGAATGGTTCTGCACTGCACAGACTGAGTAAAGACGCTGATATCGGCGCCCGATTTAGCTCTTTCATGACATAATCATACACGTACAGGAGCAAAATTGAACTACAACATACAGTAGGTCGCAAAGCAAACTAGGGAAGTTAAGAAATTCTTTGTTCTCTTTCTGTCCTCCTCATCTACTATCTCTAAATCTTTTAACTATTCTTTATGGTGGAAATAAAGTGGTTGAAATCCCAGAAATTTATGTATATTTGAAAACTTTCCCCGGACGGAGACATAAGGATCAAAATAGAGGATTGGTCTCTTTTTTCAGGATATATGGTAAACCTACTGGCCACCGAAACTAGCTCTGCTGTTGAACCCGACACAGACAGCACTGCTAGTGTTAGCAAGCGTTGGAAAACAGCTATAAGGTGCAATACAAATGACCTAAGAGCTCAGTGTTATTTTGTTATGTATGTGTGTGTGAGTGTACGCACACACACTCATGTTGGTCATTGAGATTTTCTGGGGTTCCTATGAGAAGATGACTTGGAGGTAGGTAGTACTTGGATGCTTTTGTTTGATCGGAGGTGGTACTTGGTCCAAAAAGTTGGAGAACCACTGATGGAAGGAGTCCTGTGCATGAAAGGGAATGATTTGCTTTCACCTAAGTGAAGCTTTAAAGAAATGACATTGGAAGTCATTTCGGTTCTAAAGGCATCCAGCATCAATCAGATAGACCACCTCCCTGCCCAAGAAAATGGTATAAGCTACAGCAAATCAGAAACTCGTCAGTTTCTTTCCTGGTATCAGAGATAAGAATCACAGATATTAATATTTGTCTGCAGGTTTTTCTGCTTATGGAATAGCTTATGCTTTTGAGTTCTCGTCAGGAACTCTCGCCTTTCAGAGTCATTGCTTGGCTACCTGTATAGAACGTGCATGGTATTGGGAAAGATCCCTGTGTTACACTTTTATAAGCACAAGACAAAAGAAGGAGCCTATGCGGGAGGCGAGAAAAGTAGAAGCCGGAAACCAGGAAGTCAAGCACCGTAGTGAAAAAGTATCAAGTCCAAAAACCAGGAAGTAAATCCAAAAGACCAAGCCGAATACAAGATCCAAAAACTGAAATCCAGAAAAACCAGGAAGCAGTACAGATCGCAAAAGCTCTAAAATGCTTCTCATGGAGTTCAACTCAATACCAAGCGAAGACAGAAGCCGACAGGTGAGTTTAAATAGAGAAGTTGAGAGGCGTGGTTATGGTTTAACGAGGTCTGTTTAACCCACGTCTCCCCAGAGTGGATGGAAAACGCCAAGAGCGTGAGGGGGCCCTCTGGTGACTGGAGGCCGGAACTGTAACACTCTGTTTCTGTTTAATCAAATGACTGAGGACAGCAGGCCAATCCAGGCAAGTCCAGTCCAATGCAGTCTAGGCAAGATTCTCCACCCTGTTTGAACACTCTCTCATACCATAATACAAATGACCATTTAAGCACAGAAATAGTTTAGAATCTTCCTTCGTACAAGAGCTTCTGAGAAATTCTCTTCTGGGCGCGGTGAAAGAGATTTTGTTAAATTGCTAGGGTGAATTTGCATGATTCATTTACTGTCCATTTTCTAGATATGAGGTGCACAACACCAGTTCCTCCCAGCTGAGCTCTTAATTAGCAACTTAATTAGCAGCTTCTTACGAAGCTGGAGATCTTAAGAGACCTATGTCTATGTAAGTTTGACGCACCTGGTATAAAAATAGACGTTTGTTTCTACTTTATTACTACTAGATTATACAAATACAGGACATTTCTCATGTTTTAATTATCCTGTGCGTGTGTGATTCCCTGACATGCAGCTCTGTGATCCACAGGCAGCTGTATTAGAAGTTAATAGAGTTCTCAGGCTGAACTAACTGTAACTGGTTTCACTAAGGACTAGTTAATGGAAGAATCTGCAGACGTCTTGCTGTGCAGTTACCCATCTGGCCACACGGGGGAGACAAAGCACAAGTATGCCTGTGGTATCCCTATGTCGAGGTTTTATTAGATTCCTCGGTGCTGCAAAAAACATTTCCTGAGGTGTCTTCCAGTTTCACTTTTACAGTGGTATTTACTATGTAGACTCATACATCCATATGGGGCAAAATATCTTTTCTCAGCCAATCATCTTTATCCATGAACACCATCTTACTTTCCCTTGACATTTTAAAGTGATAAATAAAATTAATCCAAACTGATGCGAGTATCTACTGGGTATTTAGCAACTGAGTTTTATTTAAAAATCATTTGAACGATGGGGGAAGAAAAACTATTACATCCATCAAAAATGCAACAATGGAGCAGCTAAACAATGCACAAAAAATGTTTAAAACAAATAAAACATTGTCCCTCAAGTTGAACACTTAACCTTAGATAAAGGGAGATCATTTGGAGAAATCTCATATCCCTGTTATGTTCTTAACAGAAATCGGTGGACTGCTTTAACTTTTCAAACTACGTTTTTAACTGAGACATTTTTTATTCCTAATTTATGACACTAGTGTAAAAAAAAAGTTCTGCAGCACATTAATCTAAAGAAGCCTTTAAGTAGAAATAATAAGTGAATGATAAATAATAAGTGAAAATTTAAGATAATTTATGCAGACCGCTACAGTTGTGAAAGTTTCCACCTTATTGTGGGTATCCCGGTTTTAACTTTCCATTTTTCTTTGCATCCTTATAAATTCCCATCCTCATCCTTCAGCTACAAGGTTCACAACAGTTGTATCAATTTTTGTTGGAAGGCGAAACGGTTAAGCTCCAGGAAAAGGAGACTGACTGAAGCTGAATCCTATTATAATTAGTATCTCCTCAGTTTAGTTGGTGTTGTGGAACATCGTCTACCCGACCTCGGCCTCAGGATGGCGAATCAACCCGTCGAGCCAGCAGATGGGTCATGTGACCGAGTGGGCGTGACGTAGCTTTCAGTCTCCGAAGGAAGTCGCTGTAAACGGTTTCTCCTGAGTGTCTCGTTCACGTCCGCACTATACTATACAGAACTGAGGCATCTTCCGTCTCTTCGAAAGGGAGTTCGTTTCTGAATAAATAAGAAAATTGAGAAAACACCCTGGAACATCACCTTCACTATGTTTTTGCTTTTTCAGGCTTGTTTGAATAATCCCCCAACACTTTGTTGAAGTGGGTTGCTCAGTATATTTGGATTTACAAATCCTATATGCTGAAGGACAGTTTCATTTGTTTTCTAAATAAAATAATCTATTTTAATCATTTAATTTTACAATATGATATAGTCTAGAAATATGTTATATTGTACTTAATTGAACCAAGCCATAAACTTCAGGTTAACTGTTATATTTTTCATTACAGATGACAGACGGACAGATTTCTTATTTGTAATTGTTCTCCCTAAGATAAACATACTGGCAGCCTGAGCACCAGTGAAATATTTGAACACTTGCCTGGGTGTTGTCTTCGACAGAAAGTGGACTGTTGAGTAATTGACATCATCCTCTTCATTCACACTCTGCTCCTGTGTTCTCTTTGGGTTGTGCGACGGTACCATATTGCCGTATGTGTGGTCTTTAGTTTCCTTGATTCAAGCACAAGCAGAAGGGTTTGGAGCCACTGCTCATCTATTTGTCCGAGCTGTGACTCTACAACATTAGTATGGAACTAATTTATTCTGTCATAGTCCCATAGAAATCTGTGATTTTATACGCTTACTTATAGAGTTCATTTATTACATACACCATAGAGGTTAAACCATCAGTTCTTTGATTCTTGGTTTTGTTCTAGGATTTAAAAACACTCAGCGATTTAATACCACTTTTGCTGCCTTTGATAGACTCTTAAAGCAATGTGATTTCTTGCATTTAGGCATTTCTTTCACTGTGTGGGATTTATAACAGACGTTCAGAACGAAAGTTAGATCCTAATCTTGACTACTGCTGCCCTCCGCAAGATATAGATCCTGTCTTCTTGACTTCCTTTTGTGAAGTCTCCACCCTCATCCCTCCTTCTACCACATCCGACCCTTGTAGCAGCTCCCTAGCTCATTACTTACAAATGTGAGGAGAGGGAGGAAGGGTTTGGTCAGCCTCATTCTTACTGTCAGGCTCACACAAAGTCTAATCCATTCACCCCTCTGTTGTTGATCTTACTGTTGAACTACACAGTAGAGACTTTGATAGACTGAATTTACCAAGTAACTTTTCATTAGTACCCGCTGATTCTGTCATTGAATTGGTAATACAGATGGATTTAATAATTAGACTTTAATAAAAATAACCAATCGAGGAGCTGTTTCCACATAAATCACACACTGCAATGGATTGTAATGTCTTGTTTTTTGAGTACCCCTGCAATTAGTACAGGTGCTGATGTATTATTTCTTCTTACAGTAAAAAATCAATTAAAAAATGTAAAAATATTGTTATCATGTTAAAGAATATGCATCCAACACTTTACCTCAGTGTCTGTGTTCCTGTTGCTCTCCTCTTCAGAAGGATCAACCCTTTTTCTTTGACGAATGTACAAAGAAGGAAAGATTAGAACAAATTATTTAACAATGTGGGCAATGTCTCTATCTACTCCCACCCATGCAAGCCTGTCAGATTGCTCTTGGTATAACAGGAGTTGATGAGTAGCAGCTGGCATTAAAGAAATTTGGCTGGAAAGAATAGAATACACACCTAACCTATATTATCTTAAAATCAAATTCTTTAAAGTCAGTGCTCACCTATTTTACCTGCAAACAGGACAGCAAGAATACAATGTGCACCAATTATCCAGTCAAGGTACATTGAGACCACAGACCTGTTTTGTCTAGAAAAAATCATGCTTCATTTCTTTTAACTGTTCTGCCTCTTCTATGCTAATGGTGTTTAAAACAAAGATTTGTTTTAGTCAGCATGAGGCATATTGTCATTTTCTTTCTTGGTAATGAACTGAATTACATTTTAATTCAGCCATTTTTAATTTAATCTTTAAACAGTTTTCCATTATTATCTTCAGAACACTTTACCAAACCCTTTAGTGGATGGCACTGGAAAGAATCTCTTTGAGAACTGGGCTCAAACCAGAAGACACAATCTAAACTACAGGGAAATGCTTTCAAAACAGAGAGCAGAAAAGCACGTGTTTGCACAAGGTGCTCTGGGATTCTGGAACAAACTACCCAGCCACACGCTTTAAGCTGATGGTGAAAATGCAGAACTTCTAGTCTTCTTCATTCTAGAATTGCTTCTGGAAACTGGTAGATGAAATCCAGGTGGAAGCACTGGGAAGCAAATGAGTTCAGCTTATAATTACCAACCGACTTCTTAACTGACGTTTCTGACGTCCTTATGAAAAGGATGTTAACCCCAAGAAAACTCACCTTTTCAAACATATGTAACTCACAAGAGCAGAAATGCTCAGTAATATGACTACCAACACAACTGGAAGCACTGCTGGGTTTTGTTTGGCTATAAAACATGAAAATACATGTAAGTAATAAACATATCATTGCATTTTAATCATAAGCAATTACTTTCATTTATGCATTTTTACTGAGTGCAAAATAAAACCATCTTCTTTTCACAGTTCTAAGAAGGTTTACTTCATTATCTTGATGAATATGACAGATATTGTACCTGCAACAGCAAGAACTACAGCTGTAGAATTTTCAGCACCATGCTTGTTTTGTGCTCCACAGAAGTAATGTCCACTGTCTCCAGAGCTAACCTCAGCAAGGGTTAAATTCTGCCCTTGTCCTGTTTCCTGGACACCAGCACTACTCATCTTGAACCAGATGTAATTTTTCACTGGTGGGTTTGCATTGCTCCTGCAGGTCAGAGTGACAGAACTGCCTTCCAGTATTTGACCAGAGGGACTGACTGATACAGAGGTGCTCTTTGGAGAATCTGAAAGAAAAATCAGTCATTTAGTTCTCTAATATCTATGTAATATCATTTGGGTTTGTTACCACTGAAAGCACTGATACAGTAGCTTACATATTCATAATTTCTTTCCTTTTTATCTATTTTAAGTCAAGTTTAGATTTTTTTTTCCGTGCAACAACATATCATTATCAACATATCAAGGACAGTAGGTTCTTTAGCTGCGTCATCATGCGTAGGCTGCAAAGGAACAAGTAAAGGTTTATTCCATGCTGATAAGAGAAAAAAAGCAATACAACATTTTATCTGTTCTAGAATGGAATAAACCTTTACTTGTTTCATTATTAACATATGCCATCCATGTTGGCTTTAAATGATTATACTCACATTTAACATCAAGAGAGAACTGTGGAGATGATATACTTGTGTTAGCTTTTGAAGCACAGGAGTAGTTTCCATAGTCTTCATAGGAAACACTATTAAAGTGCAGTGTGTTTGCTGTTGTCTGCCTGTTTGAGATGGGCTGACCGTTCTTAAACCAGGTGAGCTCTGTCGTTGTAGGAAAGCAGCTCCCTGTGTGACACATCAGAGTCACACTGTCTCCTTCTTTGAAGGTGTCTTTTTTTCTTGTTGAATTTGCTTTAACCTTCCAGGGTGTTGCTGCAACAAATCAGTGTAAAAAAAGTTTTGCTTCATAAACTATGATAAATATGGAAGCTTATTCGTGCGACAGAGAAAAACATTAACTAATTTATAGCATATAGTATTTTGTTTATCCGAAAAAAGTACCTAATTTATACGAGACAATTATTGCATTTATACTAGAAAAGTATCTCGTTAATACATAATACATGAAAAGCATCTCGTTTATACGAGAAAAGTAGTCCGTTTAAACACAATAGTTAAGTTGGGAACAATGTTATTAATACTTTATATTGCGTTGAAGTGTATATGCAATGATATTGTTCCATGCAAAGTAGCATTGACTTTAACAACAGCAGAATATTATCACACTCCTCTTTTTGGAAAAAAAATAATCTAAAGGAGCATGTGTTCTGTCTTTTGTATACATAAAGTACAACTAATAAGCTAATTAGAGTTAACAGAAACATTTAAGATAAACAAATCGCCTGGGACTGATCGAATAACACTAATTGGAATTCAGGAAACAAGAGATTATTCTCTGTCATTCCTTCCTTGTTTAGAAAACTCTTCTAATTTCAACACATGTAAACAGGCGGGAATATGAAAATGGTAAATGTCGCACTTGTAAAAAGGCCAACAAACCCGAACCAAGTAATTATATATACAGTATATTTTAAAAAGAATGAATTCTATTCAATGTAAGGCTATGGGAATGATAATTCAAACCAAGCAAGCATGATTTGCATGACAATAGGGTTGTCGTGGATAGGCTTGTGGATGGGTTTAGAAGAGGTAGGTCTCGCTTAATTAACACGTCACAATTCTTTTTAATAAAAGATTGAATATGACACATTTAAAAATCCAGTAAGCTATCGATATTGTTCTTCATGAATACTTTAAATTTCAGGTAGCAGTCAGTTACTGCTCACTGGACTGATAACTGGTTAATGGATAGAAACCAGAGAGTACAGATAAGGGGTAACTGCTCAATTTGTGCTCTGATCAGAGGAGTGTCATATTGCTAAAGAGTACCAGGGATTTGTATTACATACACTGCACTTCTTCCTCTATATCAATGATCTACACATTGTTAGACAACTATTTAGGTTTTCCTATTATAGTATATCAAAACAGGAGGATAATCAACCACTGCAGAAATGGCAAACACAATTTAAGACTCCAACAAAATTCAAGACTGAGGTGACATTTGGTTTCTCACATCTACTGCAGTTGAGTGCAAAGTCGTACATGCAAATATGAACTATAGATATACAGCAGATGACGAAGCGATCTGTGAGAAAGACTTGACTGCATTTGCTGACATCTTCATCTTCCAGAAAATGTGGAAAGCAGTAAAAAAGGCAAACAGCACGTTATACAGCTACTGTAGAAGCACAACATTTAAATAAAGGGAAGTTACATTAAAATATCACATTTTACTGTAACTATTGCACAGTGGAGCCATACTAGGAAAATGTTATTTAGAATATTATAATTTTGGTAACAAGGTCACAAAAGGGATATTGCAGCTCTGGAATACAGTAGAGACCAAGGCTTCATGGAATATCCTGTGCTGACAGATTTAAAGGTCTTTAATAGACAAGACAACTAGGGAACCTCAAACCCACAAAGGGTTGAACTACTTCAGAATCAACAGTGAAATACAAAACAGAGAACAGATATGAACTTTTTTATACAAAGCAATGCTGTAATTGTGTGAAAAACTGTAAACAGCGATGAGCATGTTCCTAGCATTTACTAGGATCATTAAATTAAAGGATTTCCAATTTCAAAAGCATCTCTTCCCTAAAAAACTGATGAGGTAGTTGTATTCTTGTTGAATGTGTTTCAAATTTATATGACTGAATATAAATTAGGGAATTACAGATTGTAAAATGTCAATGCATTTTAAACATACTAACAGTATAATTACTACATATTGTTTTTTAATGTGATTATATTTGGTATTGGGTTTTTATTGTGACCAAATTTATGATTCCACACTTGTGTTGAATTGAGAGAATAACACAACCTTACCAGATACAGTAAGAGTCACTCCAGGATTACCAGTCCATTGACCTCCAGGATTATTGGTTTGAAATCTGAATTTATACCTTCCATTGTCAATTTCTTCCACATCGTTTATCATTAAAGTGCAGTTCTTCTGTTTATTTCCCAGATACACTATTTTTTGCCTGAATGGCTCATTGTCACTGTTATAAATAGATATGTTCTCATTACAGGTCGTATTAGTCTTACACCACATCACAGTTGTCACTTTGTGTTGAACACTTTGAGAATGCACAGTAAATTCCTTAGGATAGTTATATGAACAACGAATGATCACAGAGGAGCCTCTCACAGTGCAAATGGTTCTTCGTGGATACGACACAGCCCAATCACTACCATAGACGCCTGCAATAACAATTTCAGACATCATTACGGTCCCATTAAAAACTATAGCACCACTCAGCACAATGAAAACCTAACATGAAGAAAATACTGAAAAAATGAAGAGTACCGACTTTTAAAACTTCAAAGAACTTTGCTCAGTAGAAAGAAATATACTGAGTAAATATACAACATTTGACTGGCAAATGCCCTGTTACTTGCATTGCATTTAACAGAAGCAGCTCCTCAGATAACGGTGAAGCATGGGTTAAACCAAATTTGGCCCCCAAGATAATATCTGCAAATGAAAAACAGGCAAACTCTGAATCAATTCAAGGCAACCTGGACTTCAGGGGAGCTGGATCCAATGCCGACAAGCAATGAGCACAAGATGGGCACAAGACAAAAAGACTCTGTATTGTGAAATGTATGTGGTCATTTGTATGTGTTCTTGAATTTCAGCTGTTTCTTTACTCACAATGCTTCTTTTCAGTGTTATTTAAACACTTAGAGAAGTCTATGTAAGTCTATATACACTGTAAATGATAAATAACAAATTTTGTTGTTAGGCTTTTTTTAGGTTGAGCATTGCCATACTGTAAGTCGTTACGGTACCCATCCGATGCAGTGATGTTCTCTAGTAAGTGCCTGTTGAACAACATAAAGCCAGTCTTACCTGACAGGATTAACAGAGTCATTCCCCACAAGGAGAGGGAGTATTCAACACCCATAGCTGCAATTTCACTTCATTCCTCCTGATCTCTGCCAAAAAAAAAAAATCAAATTACACTCACACTACACTCTCACATACACCACAGACACACAGATACGCCAATTTGAAAGCAAACATGTCTTTAATGCCACTATTGCAGCACTGTACTGTTAAGAGAAACGTGCAAACCTCACCGTTAATTAAATAAATAAATTGTATCCTTTATATTTCATATATTAACTACAACTGCTTTATTTATTATTGTTAGATTATAGAAGTTCTTTGATTTTATAGAATACGCTGGTTACTTGAGAATTAATCTTCACTCCTACAAATATGCTACATACTGTATCATTGATAGATGGGATCAAAGACTTGGTAATGTAAGTTAAAGGTACCTGCAAAAGCTGCTGACATTTGGCAAATACATTTCTACTTCCCACATGTTGATGAAACAGTGTAGAATATAAATTGAAACATTTTTAAATCGTTGCACCCTCGCACTCTCCTCGATAAAACAGAACAAAAATACAAATATCCCCAGTACAGATCTATGTATGCAACTCACATTTTGGATGTCTGGTGGGTCTCTCAGGACCAGGTGAGGAGAGCTCCTTGCATACAAACATGTGCCCGATCAATGGAGAAACTGGGGTAATTAGTTGTGTATCTAACTTAAGCTACTCAGCCGTGAAGACTGTTTAAATGAACTTCCTTGTTTTGGAAAAAAAAAAGCTCCACAGGAAGTACTTGACCATGAACAGATAAAGTGGGTTGCAACATCGCAACGAGATTAACGAAGCACGTGTGGTAAATGACAGGAAATGCATCCCCCGAGCCCCTTTGCCCAGAATGTGAGTGCGGATGTGTTGATAACGAAGACACATCCAGGAAAGAGCGTTGACTACTGTACCTACCATTGATTCCAGTATGGCGACTCCATTAAGGACATAAAAGTCTAGGAATCAGAGGAGGCCGTGGTGAACTTTTGGTTGCTTTTATCGAATTGTCCTGAGGCTTTCATCCAGAGTTTCAGGCAATCATTGGCAATAGTTCTGCTGGGACCCTTGCTTTACACTCTACCATGGATTCTAGTACGGTGACTCCATTAAGGTCACCAAAGGTTACGAATAAGAGTCTTGAATGCTGAATGCATTCACAGTCCTGAGTGTTAGTTCATTCTCTTTATTCCTATTTGTATCCCGGGGTCCTTTTACTTTGATGATTCTGAGGCAGACATAGTTCTCCAGGAAAGTTATTCTAATACTTTTAAGGATATGGAATCCTTCTGTCATGATCTGAGGTCATTTTCTCTGTTTGGATTAAGAAGGTTCAGTACCTTTAAATCAGTCTGTGTACAACATTCCTTTAAATACGTCATTAAACTTACTGCCCTTCTTTGAACTGATCCCTGCGCAGAAATTTGTTTCCCATAATGTGATAAACAAAATGTACTATCCCTTATTATTCAATCAGATTGTAGATGTGAGGACTGCTGGATCTAACATGGGGGAATCTTCCCTGATCAAACAGACAAGATGCATTGTTGCCACCCTGTGGTCATGGGGTTCGCTACACACAGCAGAAAACTACAACAGATCCGCATACAAAGTTCAGATTCACTGCGAAACAGTGATCTCAACAATGAACCGACACCTAGTATGTCTACAGACATACTCTGACCTCAGTCCTCTAGAAGATGGCTAAGGAGATCACAGGACAGGACACTGCCTCTTTGTTTCCAGACTCAATTGTGGACTCTAAAGATCAGCGGTCATGTAAATTGAGTCCCTTGATTTTGAAAACACATTCCCCATGAAGAAATGTTTTTGGAGGGTGATTCTATTAATAATACTGTGCATAGTAAGAGTCTCACCACATTTCTTAATATCTCCTAACAATGAAAGATGCATCTGTGGGGTTTTCAAAACATGATTGTCAATGTTTGCCATGAACCATTCAGCCTAATAAGACAATTGAAAGTGAAAAGTCAGAAAGAGAGCCTTTTGGGTTATTCCTAATGAATTTTTTTCATTTTAATTGATTATCATGGCATGATAGAAAGTAGAGCTTTCAGCACCTGGGGATCACATCTGAGCATGTGCATGTTTCAGTAAATCTATGATACTTGTCCATAATACATTGGAAGACACATGTAATTTCTGTACGTTGTGTTTTCTTTTTCCTTTTTTCAGCATGGAATAAACCTATTACTTGCTCCTTTGCAGCCTACGCATGCTGACGCAGCTACCCACCTGAACTACTACGACAGATGTTATAACTACTTGTTCCAGAAATAATGTCTTGGTTCTCCTAAATAATAGGACACTTTTGCTTTTGAATGTTCTGTCAATGTAAATGTATCCATTTGTATCCAAATGTATCTGCTGCTGATAGCGCCAGTCAAAAAGTGTGAATAGTGAGACATTTTTAGCACTGTGAAATAGCAGCACAAAGTGGAATTTCTGTGGATCTAAGCACAGGTTCTTAAGACAGAGCATATAAGAACAAAAGGCAATGAGATATTTCAAGTAAATTATGTAACCATAAACAATCCTGGGAATAAATATTGTGCCCAAACTAGCATGATTCTTTCAGTGTGAGATAGGATTGTGCAGTGCATTAGTACAGATTCAGAATAGAGATCACCATGACAGTGAGGTTAGTATCTGTATTCTAGCGCTTTCGGGTTCACTTGTAATGTCGGCCGTATGCGTTACACTCTCCCCCGCTTAATTCACCTTCCTTGGCGAAGAGCTATCCCATCTCACTCCTGACACCAATGTAGCACTTTCGGGTTCACGTGGATATGCGCCCTCCACCGCTGGGGCTCAAACTCGGGCCTCATGGTGTCACTTAATAAGGAGGCAGCCTGCTGAGCCATTAAAGGCTCATTAAGAACCAGTCGTTTTCATAGTTCACCCAAGGAAATTAATCAAATCACAGATTGATTAACAACACAGAAGCAATAACACAGGTTATTCACAAAATATATACTGTATATACTGTATTCAGAGGATGGAAAAAGGGAGAGCCTAAATTAAACAATTATAATTATCAAAAGTATGACATTTTTCGAGAAGAAGAGAAAGAAAGTTTAATGGGTGTTGTTTTCTTTATGCTTTTTCACACATTATACATGGTCTTCTGTGGTTCTTCCTGCATAAATGATGGCAGACTGTGGTGACAGTGCCAGCACAAATAATTGTTGAATACATTTTGCAGATTGTGTTTCTATCAGCTCATATCATTATGTGTGTCAAACATTAACTTGGAAGACTGATGAGCATGCCTCTATATCAGTGCTTTTCTTTGTGCTTTGAGATGTAATTTCACCTGATACTAAAGCAGTCCTTGTGGCTGACAAGGTCTGTGTCACTGTGTACAAGCTACTGTATGTTTGCGACTTCAGATGAAGTGATATCTTGTGCCCTAAAAAGAAGAAGCTCATCTGGGACAACAAGCTGCAATCAAAGCATTTGCATATGCCTGTTTTGTTAGAGAACGAGTTTAAAATAATCAAAACCTGAGCTCTCATGAACAAGGAAACTGGCACATAGGTAATGATTTTTACTTACCATAAACTGAAGAGATCTATATCAATCGGTGCTGAAATAAAGCCTTCATACAGTAATACAAGACAGGATTATAATCACCCTGGTTACAAATTGTTCTCATGTCTATGGTTTGATAGGAGTGACCACAGAATCAAAACACAAATGTCCAGCTTCAGAAATAGTTTTTCTCCCCATGTGGTACATGTAAGTGTCACGTACAACTAATAACTAAATGCAAACTGACTGACAACTACCCATTATCATCAAATGTTCAACATCTTCTTTCCAACTTGCTGATAGCCATCTCAGTTTTGTTATGCAGTGTTGAAGGCTACTGTGGTGCCACTGGATAGTTATAAGCAGCATAGCCCTTACACATCTCCAATTTGTTTATTTTTGTATTTTTAATTAAGAAATGTATAAGTGAAAAAGTATTTTTAATGTTTTTTCCACCATCAGCCTGTAGCTCCAGCACCCTTTTAATAATATTTTAAAAGACAGTGAGATGTTATTGCACTCTACATACAGTGCCTTGCGAAAGTATTCGGCCCCCTTGAACTTTTCAACCTTTTGCCACATTTCAGGCTTCAAACATAAAGATATAAATTTTTTATTTTATGTGAAGAATCACCAACAAGTGGGACACAATTGTGAAGTGGAACGAAATCTATTGGATTTTTGAAACTTTTTTAACTAATAAAAAAATGAAAAGTGGGGCATGCAAAATTATTCGGCCCCTTTACTTTCAGTGCAGCAAACTCACTCCAGAAGTTCAGCGAGGATCTCTGAATGATCCAATGTTGTCCTAAATGACTGATGGTGATAAATAGAATCCACCTGTGTGTAATCAAGTCTCTGTATAAATGCACCTGCTCTGTGATAGTCTCAAGGTTCTGTTGAAAGCGCAGAGAGCATCATGAAGACCAAGGAACACACCAGGCAGGTCCGTAATACTGTTGTGGAGAAGTTTAAAGCCGGATTTGGATACAAAAAGATTTCCCAAGCTTCAAACATCCCAAGGAGCACTGTGCAAGCGATCATCTTGAAATGGAAGGAGTATCAGACCACTGCAAATCTACCAAGACCTGGCCGTCCCTCTAAACTTTCAGCTCAGACAAGGAGAAGACTGATCAGAGATGCAGCCAAGAGGCCCATGATCACTCTGGATGAACTGCAGAGAACTACAGCTGAGGTGGGAGAGTCTGTCCATAGGACAACAATCAGTCTTACACTGCACAAATCTGGCCTTTATGGAAGAGTGGCAAGAAGAAAGCCATTTCTCAAAGATATCCATAAAAAGTCTCGTCTAAAGTTTGCCACAAGCCACCTGGGAGACACCCCAAACATGTGGAAGAAGGTGCTCTGGTCAGATGAAACCAAAATCGAACTTTTTGGCCACAATGCAAAACGATATGTTTGGCGTAAAAGCAACACAGCTCATCACCCTCAACACACCATCCCCACTGTCAAACATGGTGGTGGCAGCATCATGGTTTGGGCCTGCTTTTCTTCAGCAGGGACAGGGAAGATGGTTAAAATTGAGGGGAAGATGGACGCAGCCAAATACAGGACCATTCTGGATGAAAACCTGTTGGAGTCTGCAAAAGACCTGAAACTGGGACGGAGATTTATCTTCCAACAAGACAATGATCCCAAACATACAGCAAAATCTACAAAGGAATGGTTCACAAATAAACGTATCCAGGTGTTTGAATGGCCAAGTCAAAGTCCAGACCTGAATCCAATCGAGAATCTGTGGAAAGAGCTAAAAACCACTGTTCACAAACGCTCTCCATCCAACCTCACTGAGCTCGAGCTGTTTTGCAAGGAAGAATGGGCTAGAATTTCAGTCTCTCGATGTGCAAAACTGATAGAGACATACCCCAAGCGACTTGCAGCTGTAATCGCAGCAAAAGGTGGCTCTACAAAGTATTAACGCAAGGGGGCCGAATAATTTTGCACGCCCCACTTTTCATTTTTTTATTAGTTAAAAAAGTTTCAAAAATCCAATAGATTTCGTTCCACTTCACAATTGTGTCCCACTTGTTGGTGATTCTTCACATAAAATAAAAAAATTATATCTTTATGTTTGAAGCCTGAAATGTGGCAAAAGGTTGAAAAGTTCAAG